GTCCAGCCCCGACGCCCGAACCCACCTGGCCGCGCGGACAACGCCGCCCCGAGGTCCGTACCACAGCACAGCGCCGCCTCCTCAGAGCGCGAGCCGCGGCGCACAAACGCTCGAGGTACCTCGGCCGCATACACGCGTCTCGCCCCGCCCCCTGGAGCCAGTCATTGGCTGGGGGGCTCCGCCCCCCCCCCCCAGCAGAGAATGCCGCTCACTTACCTGGCTTTGATTGGTCTAAACGTGAAACAATGCCCGCCCACATCTTTCAGAAGTTCCAGCTTGTGATTGGTCTTAACATCTGTCCATTCGCTCCGCCCTCACTGGAGACCACCAGCTCTGATTGGTTGAAGAAGCGCGGGTCACGCCTAGATTTCAGCCCAAAGATGAATCATCCCCACATGGGGGAGGAGCCCGAGAGCAGCGACGCCCGGTTTGTTTACAACGGCTCTGCTCCTGCTTAGCCCATTGGCTAAGATGGCAGCCATTCTCTCCTGTTTTGGTAACTCAGGAAGAGGGAGGCGGGTCTCTAGGAGGTTTCCTCTGCTGTCAACTAGCAAGAGTTTGAAGAGCTACAGAACAAGGATTTGCCTGTGTTAGGTCCCAAAGTGGGACTGCTTGGAAGAACGGAGAGTAACGTTTTTAGACAGAAACTTGACTTCTTCAGTCCTAGCAAGCTCGAGGCTGAGGCAGGAGGATCAAAAATCTGGGCCAGCCTGAGCTACATTGTGCGACCTAGTCTCATAAAAACAAGGCAATCCACAGACAATAAGACCTTGTCTGTGCTTTGGATTGACGATACCCAAACCTTGAGTTATGTTCGTAAAAAGAAAATGGATTCTTGGTGGGCAGGAGTGGTGGAACAGCGTTAAGAGCATTTGCTGTTCTTGAATAAGTAAGGCATGGATTCAATTTCCAGCACCCACGCGGTGGCTCACAACCGCCTTTAACTCCAGCTCCAGGGATCAGACGCCCTTTTCTGGCCTCCAAAGGTACTGCATGCACATGGTACACAACAGGCAAAACACTGGTGCACATATAATAAAGCTTTTATTAAAGTGGGATTCTATTAAAAATGGAACTATATATATATATATATATATATATATATATATATATTCAAAATTGCCAGCAATCACCATTCATCTATAATGAATCTGGTGCCCTCTTCTGGTGTGCAGGCATATATGCAGGCAGAATTAAATAAATTAACACACACACACACACACACACACACACACACACACACACAACAAAGTACAGGCTTAGTAAAGGAGTGTATAAAGATAATTGGATAAATTCATCTAACAACTTTTCCCTCTTCAGAGAATCTCCTCCCCTGATTGATCCCTCTAGGGACCCATTCTTTTTTCTCTTCTTTGGAGAACCTAATCTGAATCTAAGGCGTGGGTTCTTTTTTTTTTTTTAAATGTACACATTTGTTTATGTATGTATTTATTATGTGTGTTGAGGTCAAAGGTCAGAGGACAACCTGTTGGAATCAGTTCTGCCTTTTCACATGTCAGTCCTGAGAACCCTCTCCAGCTCAAATGGTTAGGCTTGGTGGCAGGCACCTTTACCCTCTGAGCTTATTTATGGCCTGGAATCTAACTCTCTCTTTTTTTAAAAATTAAGTTTGTGTGTTCGTGTGTGGGTAGGTACACATGAGTGCAGGTGCCCATGGAGGCCAGAGGCACTGGATTTATTTCTCTGGAGCTGAAGTTATAGGCAGTTGTGAGCTGCCCAATATGCTGGGAACTGAACTTGGGTTTTCTCCAGAAGCAATATGTTCCCTAAATGGCTGAGTCATCTCTCCAGCCCCTAGGAGCTGAGTCTTAACAACTATGTCTACCTCCATTTTTTGTCCACCCAGAATCATATTTACAACTACCTAGTAGTTGTCCTGGAAGACAGGACAAAAGAAAATAATCTGACCTCAAAGTCTTGCTCTTATGCCTCAACCAGAGTTTTCTGTGTACATAAATTGTACCACTGTTCAAAAATACTACCCTAGGAACTGGAGAGGCAGCCTACAGGTTAAGAGAAATTGTTGCTTTTGTGCAGGACCCAGGTTTGGTTCCCACATGGTGACTTAAAAATGTCTGTATCTCCAGTTCCAGAGGCTCTGATGTCCACTTCTGACCTTAGGTACCAGGCACACATCTGGTACACATACATACATGCAGTAAACACTTAATACATATTTAAAAAGATACTTGGAAAATACCAAAACCTCAAAATACCACTCTAAATGAATGCACTAACTAGATATATACTTAATGTATTAAATACTATAATAAACAATAATAATGAATAATAAATACATAAGTAAATCCACTGATTGAGCAAATATTATGAGCATCTACAATATTCCAGGCTCTGTGCAATTATGTGGATGAAAGAATGAAAATATGTGGATTGTGTGCAGTGGCTCTGACTGGCAGCAAAGAAGTAACCCAATATTATTCAAGTGTCATGAGTGCTAACAAGGAAAAGGCAGAGTTACTGAATGGCTAGGAAAGTGGCAATTTTAAGTAGAATTGTTAGTTTCAGAGTCCTGTGAAGACATCATTGAACACAGAGACATAAATTAAGTGATGAAGTGAAAAGTGGGAAAGTGCCACTAAGATGCACATTTCCAGAAGCTCTGACATGTGGCCTCATTAGTTATGAAGCTGTGTGGTTAGGTAGGTATTCAATCCATTGAAGATTGCTTACTCAAGTTTAAGGCTTCATTTGACCCCTAACTGTAGATCCATGCACAAAATCCATGCACACTCTGGTCCTGTCCTAGTTAGCTTTAACTGTCAACTTGGCATGGCCTAAAGTCACCTGAGAAGAGATATTTTGGGACTGTCAAAATCAATCAGACTTGTGGGTATATCTGTGGAGGATTGTCTCCGTTTAGTTAATTGGCATAGGAGGGTCCAGTCTACAGTGGGCAGCATTGTTCCCTGGTCAAGTGGTCCTGGGTTATATAAGAAATCTAGCTAAGCATGAAGCTGCCAGTGAAATTAGTAAGCAGTATTTATTCTTCTAGTTTGTACTTAAGTTCTTGCTTGAGTTCCTGTTCTAACTTCCCTCAGTGATGTAATTTGATCTGAAGTGTAAGCCAAATGAATCCTTTGCTCTCCTAAATTGCTTTTGGTCATGGTATTTTTATTTAATTGTTTGTTTTATGTGAATGGCTGTTTTGTTACATCTGTGTCTGTGTACCACCTGAATGCAGTACCTTTAGAGGCCAGAAAAAGGCTTCAGATCTCTTGGAACTGGAGTTATAAACAGCTGTGAGCTGCCATGTAGGTACTGGGAATTGAACCTGGGTCCTCTGTGAAAATAGCCAGTGCTCTTAACCTCTGAGCCATCTCTCCAGCCCTGGTCATAATGTTTTTATCACAGCAACAGGAAGCAAGCCAGAACAGGTGCCTTAGGTTGGCTCTCTGTTTTCATGGGTACATGGAATCTATTACCTTAACTCCTTTTTAGAATATCTGTCTGTTTGTCTACGTTTTTTGAGGCAGGTTTTTTCTGTATAGCCCTGGCTGTCCTGGAACTCACTCTTATGAGTGTGTGTGTGTGTGTGTGTGTGTGTGTGTGTGTGTGTGTGTGTGTGTGATGCACACGCGGCATGTGCTTATATACACATGGATATGGTGCCTACAGAAAAAAGAGGGCATCAGATTCAGAAGCTAATTAGAAGCTAAAAGAGGACATCACCTGCATTTCTAGGTGCATTGTTAGAAGAGAGGTGTGTACATAACCCAAGCTGAGTGGAGTCTCGGATTACTAAACTAGTCTTATGCATGTTGCCTCAATTCTACTTTTTGTGTAACATAAGTACTATGGGGATCTCATATAAGTGAAATCACATGGTATTTGTTCTTTTGTTCTTCTTGTAATTTAATGTTATCCAAGTTCATGTATTTGTAATTCACTCCCTTTCGGACTTAATAGTATTCCAAAGCTGGATGCATTGCTCCTATCCATGATGGGTATTCTTGTTTCGAATCCTTTGCTTTTATAAGAGTCAGGTTGTTCTGACTCAGGAATTTTGTTTTATTTTTCGTTCGTTTTTTTTTCATTCCCTTCCGTCTTTCCCTTCCTTCCTTCCTTTCTTTCTTTCTTTCTTTCTTTCTTTCTTTCTTTCTTTCTTTCTGTTTTTCAAGGCAGGGTTTCTCTGTGTACCAGTCCTGCCTGTCCTAGAACTCACTCTGTAGACCAGGCTGATTCAAAGAGATCTGCCTGACTCTGCCTTCTGAGTGCTAGGATAAAAGGCACGTGCCACCACCACCTGGCTGTTTTGTTTTCAAAATAGGATTTCTTCTTGTAGCCCTGGCTGTTCTGGAACTCATTCTTTAGATCAGGATAGCCTTGAACTCAATCTGCCTGCCTTTGCCTCCTGAGTTTCTGGGATTAAAGGTGTGTGCCACTATGCTTGGCTAGGAATTATTTTTTATGTATTCTAGATATTATTCCTTTTTCAGATACATTATTTGCAGATATTTTATTCTGTGAGTAGCCCTGATCTTCCCTTCCTTTCTTTCTTCCTTCCTTCACTCTCTTTTTCCTTTTTTGAGACAGAGCCTAACTATATATCCCTAGGTTGTCCTCAAACTCACAATTCTCCTGCCTCAGTCCCCTCAGTGCTGTAATTAAAAACCAGTAGCATCATGCCTAGCTGGATTGCCTTTTTTTTTTCATTGACAGTGCCTTTAATGTTTAAGTAGTGTTCCTGATTGTGTGGACCTGAGGAGCCTGAGATCATCTAAGCCCTCCTTTCTCAGCATGCACCTACAAGCACCCCAGGAAGAAGCAGTAGAAGGCAGCGAAGCCTGCTGTGGAGACAGAGCTTTTCTTCTGCTGGAAGAGTTTAGGGTCCATTTGACAGCCTGATGAAGATTTAAATTTTTTTCAGATATATATTCATTGTACATGATACTATGCTACACAAGGCTATTTTCATACAAGTGTACATTGTATGTCTAGCATAGTCTCCCTTCTGCCTACTTTCTCACCACTCCCCTCTCCAGATAGTCTCCTGTGTCCTCTGGACAGTTTTGCATCTACTTTCATGTCATACACACCTACACTAATATATGTTTATATAAAATCTAGGAACC